AATTATTAATTCGGACCTTGGCGCGTTAGAAGTCTCATTGGTGTTGGCTGTAAATAAAGATTAGTAATGCGAAGTGATGTTAGACATGTGTTGTATCATTAGACTTTATAGTTAGCTGACATGTATAAAAACTCAATGTCTTCGCCCTCTTGTAAAAACAGACTTGGTGTCTCAAGTTTTTCTGTTTGAGGATTTTGTCTTGAGTAGACAACGGTTCCTCGTTGATCAATAATAAACGCTTGTTATGCTTCGTGCAGTTTTTAGTTTAGTCAAAGTTTATTCTTGGTTTTATTTATTTTATTAGTTTTTCTTTTATTTTGATTTTATACATTACTCTCTGTCCCGACACATTATACAGTCAACCCTCCATAAATGCATACCCTTGGGACCGGCTTCAAGTCATGCATTTAGAGAGGTTTGCAATTATAGAATAACCAATAGAAATACAGCATAGCTATAGTCACGTGAGGCAATTATTAACCAATGATATCTCATCATATGATATGTACGTTTTAACTAAGAGACTGTACCTGCATAGAAATTTTCTTTGCGGGTACAATCTCTATCACGAACTTACACTTTTTGTTATACCATATTGTGAACTAGAGACTTACCCGTGTAGAAATTTTCTTTGCAGGTTCAATATCACGAACTTACATTTTTCATTTTAAACTTCCGTTTTTTATTAATCCTTTAATTTCACATACTAACGTTTTATTAAAGTTTTATAAAGAAAATTTCTATAATGAAGCCGAAATCTAATGTAACGAAACCAAAATCCAACGTAAGAAAGCCAAGATCTAACGTCACAAGCAAATATCTAACGCTAACACTAATTTAAATTCGTATGTGTTTCGAGAAACATATATAATTATTAGGCGCTTGGGGAAAAGAAAAGCTATAAGGGAACATTTCAACAATATAAATTCACAATTTTCATGAAAGATAAGTCTTTTTTTCCTTTTTTTTTCTTTTTGTTCTTTTTTTTCTTCGCTCAGCATATATTAATCGGAATCGAAATTCTGGTTTATTTAAGAGTAAAAAATAATATTAAATAAGTTTTTAATTTCAATAACATTATTATTATATACAGAAATATTTAATATACATACATTACGAGTTGGCTCAAGGAAAGCCTCTATGCTTAATTGTTTGAACGAAGCATTCCGGAATTTTCTTACTGACTCATACAATTTTGACAAAGCAATGTCGTGTTCTGCATCATCAAGGTTCTGCTGCATAAGATAGAGCTCTAATCGATTAATAGCATCTAGTGCTTCCTTATGTGTAATTTGAGGGATTTCTACACTGTCATCTTCCTCATCATTTTCAGCCTGTTCAGATTCCTGGTATGTGGCTTGGTTCAAAATTTCTTGGTCGCTCATTATTCCTGTTATAATTTTTCGTCTGGATAATTAATGTACTCCTCAAGATCCATTACGTTTTGGTAATTAAGCATTTCGATATTTTCATACAATTCTTTCATTAAATCATCATCATCCTTAGCAGGCCCTTCATTATTATCATCTTCGTCTTCATCATTATCATCGTCACTATCATTATCATTATCATTATCTAGACCCGGAATAATTCCTGTATGTCGAAAACAATTTTGTATAGTTTCTGATGATACTTCTCTCCATCCTCGAACGATGAATTTTATGGCGGTAAGAACATTCATTTTATCATCATTATCTTCTTCTTCAGATTCATATTGATCAAGTAACCATTTTATAAAGTAATTTCGATAGCGATGTTTAAAAGACATGATGATGCCAGCATCCAGAGGTTGTATTCGAGATGTTGTATGAAATTTAATGGTTGTGTTACGAAGATTTAAATTACCGACCGAGTGACATCTTGCATTATCCATTAGAAGAATTACTTTGCGACTAGCCATTTTCAAATCAAATTTTTTAAGCCATTTTTGAAACAATGCATTTGTCATCCATGCATTCTTGCTTGCTTCATATGTAGCATGAAGACTGTGGTAGTTAATAGATTTAAAACAACGGGGATTATGTGACTTACCAATAACAAATGGCATTATTTTATCTGTTCTACTGGCGTTAGTGCAGAGTGTCACAGTTAACCACTCTTTATCCTTCTTTTTTCCTTTAAGACAAACCGTTGCCAACGTGGTGTCTGGCTCTAGGCTAGGAAGAAAAAAAAAAAAATTAAGATAAAGCTTTCATAACTCGGGTAGATTTTTAAAAAATTTTTATTAAAATTTTATAAAATTTTTATAAAAATTTTTTTGTGAAATTTTAAAAGAGCCGGTTGATCAGGTCTACACTAGTAAAGTTTAAAAAAATTGAATAGCACGATTTGAATGCCATTTAACTGCTATTCGAACTGTTATTCAACACTATCACATGCATATTCAAGAACATGTATGTGATAGTATTGAATGACAGTTTGAATAGCAGTTAAAATAGCATTCGAATTGTGCCATTTAATTTTTTAAATTTTATCAGTACTATCATACTTAGAAGTCTTATATTACGAAAACTGAGATTAAATTTGTATAGTCTAATTGTTTATACTGGTAAAACAATCTGGTTTCGTCTATATTGTAAAGATCTCTTAAGTTATATTCTTTTAAAATCGCTTTTAGCTGAGGAAGAGCGATTTCAACAGCTTCTTCATCTACTGAGGCATCCTCTCCATGTTTTGTTATCTTTTTTGATCCATGTCTTTTTTTAAACTTTTGTAGCCAACCATTTGAAAACTTGAAATCAGATATGTTTAATAATTGGGCAAAATTTTGGCTTTTTCTATTATAATATCATCGGCTAATATTATTCTTTCTTGGTTTTGTAGGATCCACTCAAACAGTGTATTTTCAAGTGCCAGATATTGAACCATTTTTTGTCTTTTTGCCAAGGGATTTTCTCCGATTTCATCCTTGTTTTTTATTAAACGACTAATAGTACTTTGATGGACTTTAAGATTCATTGTTTGTTTTACCCAATCGACAAGGTCAGTTTGGCTAATTTGAGGATGTTTTTCTTTATGTTTAATTATAGCTTTTCTTTGTTCATTTGTAAGAGCAGTTTTAGTTTTTTTAGGTTCTTCAGAGGACATTTTAATTATCGTAATATAATACAGTGTTTAAAGAGTAACTGGGAAGTTGAGCAAATACTTTTCTTTCTGACTTTATAGTTTAATTGATTACTTATCTAATCTCTCTTAAAATGAATCAACAGATTATTTACAACAATACAATGAGGCTATTATATTATTATGCGATATACAAAAATATTTAAGCGAGAGACTTTTTTGTAATTTGATATTAAATAACATCGTGGCTAAAGCAGAAATTGTTGAAACAAGAAATCAGGGACCTCTATTTAAAATATTGATCTTACCAAAATCTGGTTATACTCTTACTATAATCTCTTAACTATATATCTAACCCAACTACAAAGAAAAACTAAAAGAAAATGCACCAAACTATTTAAAAATTTTATATTAGATAAGACAATTTCTAGCTTCAGCCGTGACAGTTAATAATTTAGATAAGTTTTACACTAGAATCATATGAAGCATCAATTTGAAGGTATAGGCTTATTTTAATCACGTAATTAAAATAAGTGTAAGTGTATGCATAAATGCATGTATATGCATACTTATTGTGTATGAACTCAAGTTACATTATTTTTGACATGCAATCAAGCTTTTTAGTATCTTATTCATAGTTTTTTTCAACAATTGACACATTCTTTAGTATCTTCAATTGCATGCTTTAATTCTCCTTTTTTTTTATTAACGCTTTCTTTTAGTCTTTGTTGTTTTTGTTGGTTTGAGCTAGCTCTTTTTCGTTAAGATTCAAATATAATAACAGTTTTTGAAATACTGTAGTATAGTAAATTATGCGATAAAGAAAACAAAAAGAAAGTGAAATGAGAATCAGAAGTTTAATAAAATAAAAAGATTCAACTTTAAATTACTGTAAATAAGTATCATTGGCTTATAATTTTTTTTTAATATTTTTAGATTGCGTCTTATTGTTAATGGATTGGATTTACCCGTACTAGATTTAGTACATTGTACTAGATTTAGTACAAGGAATATCCTAAAATTCT